TTTTGCTGTTTTTTTTTTTTTTTTTGATATATTTTTTAATGTACATAATTTATTCAACCAGTCTCTTATTACATAGTATTACACTATGGCAATAATAATAAAAGTCTGTAGAATTTCTTTTTTTCTTTAGGGCCTAACACCAGTTAATATTTCAATTTTTATTGTGATTTGGGTGAAAGTTTACAGAGAAAATTCATTTTCCATACAGCAGTTCATGCACATTTTGTTTCATGACATTGACTGCAATCCTCACAATGTAACAGCTTTTTTCCCACTCCCTGTCGTTACCTCTTCCTTGTGTCCTTCTTTCCTATGCATTCCTATCCCTCCTCCTCCAGCTATCTCCATGTGCAAACACTGCCCTCTATTCTCCCACGACTGATCCTGATCGCTGTAAGGAGTGTATCTACCTGTTATAAATGTTCACCCTATATGCCTATCTATTGTTTGTCTGGAAGCCACAGGAGTGAGCTTAGTTCCAGACTTGAAGGATAACCAGGGCCCACAGTCTTGGGGGTCTCACCAGGCTCTATCGAATCAGCAGACCTGTTTTTTTTTTTAATGATTTTGAGTTTTGTTCCACATATTTCTCCCACTCCACGCAGAATCTCCTGCACTAATCCCTTTCTGAGGGGTTGACAATGGTAGCTGGGTACCATCTATTTTTTTCTGGTTTCATCATCATATAGGCTGAGGATCACATGGTCTGCTAGTCCCTTGGACTAATTGTTTCCATATGTCTTTGGTTTTCTTCATTCTTCTTTGCTTTAGACAAGGAGAGACCCATTGTTGCATCTAGATGGGCAGCCTCTTGCAAGCTAAAACCAGTCAACTATTTTTAATGCTTCAGGGTGTTTAAATAATACATGTATTTTCTGTTGGGTACAAAGTTAACTGTCTGTCTACCTACTTATCCATCTACACCATTGCATAATATTACATTAGACATGTCTTCTTAGCTTCCTCTGGTCTCTGACATTTTCTCAGACTTTGCTTATTTTTGGCGACCTTCACAATTTTGAGGAGTACTAGGCAAATATATTGTAGAATATCTCTTGATTTGGTTTTGTCTTATGTATTTCATATGACTGCAGTAGGAGCTCTGGTAGCATAGTGCCTAAGGCACTTGACTGCTAACCAGAAGGCTGGCGGTTCAAACCCACCAGCCACTTCTTGTAAGGAAAATTGGGCAATCTACTTCCATAGTGACACTGCCTTGGCAACCCAGGGAGGGGTCGCTATGATTCAGGGTCAACTCAACAGCATATAACAACAACAACAACAACATAGTGGGGTTATGGGTGTTTGGGAGGAAAGTCACAGATCTGAAGTGCCATTCTCATCACATCACATCAAGCGAACATGCTAGCAACATGACTTGTCATAAATGATGTTAACCTTAATCACCTATTTGTCAGATTTCTCTACCATAAAGTTACTTTTTCTTCTCTTTCTATGCACTACTTTTTCAAAAGGCGCGCTCTGGTAGCGTAGTGCCTAGGCATTTGACTGCTAACCAGAAGGCTGGTGGTTCAAACCCACTAACCACTCCTCAGAAGGAAGGTTGGGCAACCTACTTCCATAGTGATACGGCCTCGGAAACCCAAGGAGAGGTCACTATGAGTCAGGTCTGACTGGACAGCACATAACAACAAAAACACCAACTCTTTCAAAACAAGTTCACACATGCAACCCACACTCAACAGTTTGTTGAAGGTAGGGTGGTAAATTAAGCTCCACCTCCTCGATTGGGAGGGGTAGTATCTACATAAATTATTTGGAATTCTTCTGTGTGAGAGATTTGTCTCTTTTGCTTCACTTGTATATTCAGTGAATCATTTGTTTTTATCGGTATGGACTCATGGTTATTTACTTTATGCTTTGGGCTATAATCCAAAACTACGTTATTTATTTTTTTGCTCAAAGTATTCCAGCATTGGCCACTGGAAGCTCTTTCAGGTTGATTCCTATGTCCCTTTGACTGTCCCCATCCTTTTGTTTTTTGAGCACTTCCTTACTTTATAAGGAACTCTGGTGGTATAGTGGTTAAGGAATTTGGCTTCTAACCAAAAGGACAGTGGTTCGAACCCACCAGCCTCCGCAGATGAAAGACGAGACAATCTGCTTCTGTAAAGATTTACAGCCTCAGAAACCCAATGGAGGTCACTGTGAGTCAGAATCAATTCGATGGCAGTGAGTGAGTTTCCTTTCTAGCACTACAAAATGTTCCAGGCTCATCTCATACATCCCTCACCCCAGTCTTAGACCAAGTATAGCTCTGAGTCATTTCACTGGATAGTGCCTAAGGCACTTGACTGCTAAGCAGAAGGCTGGCGGTTCAAACCCACCAGCCACTCCTCGGAAGGAAGATGGGGCAATCTACTTCCATAGTGATACTACCTCGGAAACCCAAGGAGGGGTCGCTATGAGTCGGGTCTGACTCAACAGCACATTACAACAACATGATCTAGAAACCAAAATCTATCGCAGTATCATTGCTTCTAGGCCCTCTCAGTGGACAGAACTAGGAAATATATAAATACATGTATACAAAATATGGCCTTAGAAATGTCAGTTCACCTTTCTGGGCCATTTTCCTTCCAAATCAGAAGATTTTATTAGATCTATTATTCTCAAACTAAAATAGGATCATAGCCTCAAGCATTTTGGGTCAGAAAAATCTTTATGATCCCTTGATAATATGCTTGCCAATCCTATTAAATCCTATATATTTGCTTTCTGGAAAGTTTATGGCTCAGTTGCAACTTTCAAATGTATTTTATCCACTGCCATATACTCTATTACTTCACTTCATATTTCACGTTATTTCCATGACATCTTTTCTACCCATGCTTGTAAATATACTCCAGACACTTAGCCGCACACAATTCAATATTCCTACCTTTCCCATATATTGATAAGGTAAAGAAATCCTTTCTGTTAGTTTAGTGTAAATTTTTTTTTGCGCTTAATGGAATAAGCCAGCAGTTTATTCTGAGCATATTGCTTGTGGATTAATAATAATAAGCCCAGCAGTGTTCAAAATGAACACCATACTTTAACTTTAGGGCTTGTGACGAAAACAGTATAGAGTGTTTAATGAAACAAAAAACTCAACTCACTAGTAGACTTAAAAGACAGGGAAAGACATGCTCAGTTTTTCCTTGGCAGATCCCCCATGCTTGATGAGTCATTTGCTAGGCACTCCTACAGTACTTTATGCATAGCTTTTTTTTTTTAATGCTACTTTTCACACTTAATAGTAAGTATTTAGTTTCTGTTTCTCTTCTTACACTGTGAGTGCCTCAAAGAAATAGGTTATGTATTACTCATCCTTGTATCCTTAGCATCTTGCTTCAGACCTTGCCCAAAGAAGATGCTTAATCAATATTTGCTTGACGAACAAGTAGTAAGGTGAACTGTGGATTGGGGCTGGATTGCTGAGTAGGGTTTCAGTAGGCAGAGAAGCAATAAAGAGTTTCACTCAGGGGAGTGGCATGATTAGAGCTGCATGTGAAAGATTCCTCTGATTTAATTTTATTATGTTAGAGACTGTGATGATTTATTTTGAGGCTGTAGTGTGCAGAATCTGGCTCATACCAGTTCAAGAGCCAATTGTTATAATTTATAGGAATTTTGCAAGCCACTTGTTAAACACAGCTATTATTAAAAATTAGATTATATAAAGTTATAATTAAATAAATTATGTTAAAAACAAAGGTAACAAATACTAAAAACTCATCACTTTGGAATTATTTTCCTACATTTTATTGACACCTATGCTCTTGAGGTTGTTTATATCTGTTGGATCTGTATGGTGGACTATATACAATGATGCACAACTGTACATCTTTTCCCTCTGGATTCATATTTTTATTATTCCATAATCATGAATATACATCATATTTTTATGATTTTTATATTGGTAGCTTGAAATTGACAACAGTAGAAATATTTACATAATGGAAATGGGTAAAAGCTACAGATGAGGGTTTTTCTTCAGAGAGTTGGTTGTGATACATTTACTAGCACATCATTGTTGAGGAGGCAAATTAACAAAAAAGTAATGCAAGGGTCGAAAAACAGAGTTGAGGAAATTCCCAGATAGTAAAAAATTAAAAGAAAAAAAATGAGAAGTGGGAGAAAAAACTTGAGCGGATTAGAAAATGATCTGAAGATTTGAATATATGAATAACAGAAATCTGAGAAGGAACAGAGAAATGGGTGGGGGTCAGGTGAGGTGTGTGTGTGTGTGTGTGTGTGTGTTTGTAGAGGGATATCTAAAAAATAATGCAAGAAAATCCTCAGAACTAAAGGGTAAGAGTTCCTAAATTAAAAGGGCTCTCTGAGCAACTAGTATAATGAATTTAAAAAATTGCACATCGAAGTATATCATTGTGCATTTTCAAAACATCAAGAATAAAAAGATCCTCACAGCTCCTAGAAATAACAAAAATGGAGTCATACAGCAAGGCAGATGGGTCATATGTTGTTGTTATAGCGACCCCTTCTTGCATTTCTGAGGCAAGTAGATTGTCCCATCTTCCTTCCAAGGAGTGGCTGGTGGGTTTGAACCTCCAGCCTTCTGGTTAGCAGTCAAGTGCCTTAGGCACTAGGCTACCAGAGCTCCCAATGGGTCATACACAAAAGTCAAATGTCATTAAACTTCTCAGCAATAACAATGGACAAGTGCTGACATCAATCAAGTGGTCAAATAAAGATATTTTGAGACATGCAAGATCTCAAAAATTTGTAACCTTCTTTATACACTTTCTCTGGAAGCTACTAGAGGATACGCTCTATGAAAATGAGGGGGAAAGACAAGAAAGACATGGAATCCAGCACAAGGGCCTCAAAGAAAAAGTAAATTCTCAGGATGATGATGAAGGGAGGTCCAAGGACGACAGCTGTGCAGATGGCTTAGAGAGCAACAGTGAAGACTGTAATAAGAGGGGTATTTCAAAGGAAAACAACATAGACATAGAACCTAATGAGTCTGAATGAGTCCAGAGGAGATTGACAGTACTGGCAGAGCATCTGTTTGTTTTGTTAAAATTGAAGCAATGATTAACCCCAGGGAAAAGGAAAAAGAATCTGGTAAGAAAGGAAATCTAATCACAGTGTATCACACGGATCAACTGTGAAAAGTATTTTCAAACTCATCATAATATAAATTAAAAATGGACTTAACCGCCCCCCCCCCTTTGTAGTAACAGTACTGGGAGGATGGGAGTGTGTGTATGGGGATGTGAGCAAGGAGAGAGAGTTGATGAGCTGGCCAGTTGAGGATGACACAGTTGGTGAAGATCGACACACTCCCTCCCCGTAAGAAGAGAGACAAAGGAAATTTCCCTCAGAGACCGTCCACCAAGTCTTGACCCCTCAGCCTGATCCAAAACCACTGCCACCCAGTGGATTCCGACTCATAGCGACCCCCATTGCGTTTCGGAAGTGGTTCATCTTTACCGAAGAGGATTGGCCGGTCTTCCTTCTGCGGGGTGTCTGGTGGCTGTGAACCGCCAAGCTGCTGGTTAGCAGTCAAATGCACTGCGCCACCAGAGCACCTTCTCAGCCACATAAAGAACCAAAACAGAGGGGTCAGAAAGAAGTGTAGAGTTGGGGGAACGGTGGAGCAGTTTCTTTGGAGCACAGTTACTAAGGTGTGTGCACCCCCCTTTGGAGGAAGGGCAGTGGGTTTCCCTCTCAACCCCCGAGCTTCAGGTGGGGGCTTTGGACCGTGTTACCTGATCTGGGAAACCTGAAGCTCTGGAACCCAACCCACGCAGAGAAAGCCCGAGGCCGGCTGCGCCCCGGGCCTGCCTCCCACCGAGAATGCGGGCGAGGCTGGGACCGGCCGGCTCCTTGCTTGGGGGCAGGAGAAACGCTGCAGTTGGGCTGGAGCTGCAGGCGCCGAGTGGCCTGCGGAGACGGCCGGCCCTCGGCGCGGGATCGAGGCTCGACTGCCACTTTCTCGGTGCAGGCCTGCTGCCGCCCTATCGAGGGACCCGCAGGAAACCTCCACCCGGCCTCGACCGCCCCCGGGAGCGCAGCGTCCGCTTCCATCCTCAGCCAGCCCAGGACCCAGGCCGCCTGGCTGAACGAGGACCGGCCTCACTCTGCAGCCCCTCATCCTCCTCCCACCGCTGCGCCAGTCAGGACCCCGACCCTCGCCCCACCTCGGCCCTTGCGCTGCGGGCCCAACCTCAGACTCCCACCAGGCCCGGCCTGCCCCGTAGTCTATGAGGGTCCGGGGCGAGAGCCAGGCGCCGAGGTCGGCCAGGGAGGGGGTCGCCCGCTCAGCCCTGGTCTTGAGTTGTAATGGTCGCTCAAAACTGGGCTTGCTATACTCCATACCTAAACAGAGGGGATCCGACAGAACTTTCTAGCCTGACAAGCAGGGTGACCCGTGAATGAAAGATAGAGTATTAATGGTAGAGTGGCAGTTTGGTTACATCATAGTTAGGACTGTGCAACGCTTTGCTTACTCGTGGTATTTAGAATTAAAACTAGTAGAAACAGATGGAAAGGTTCCACGTGTTTGCATGGAGTGTTACAATTTGACAGACGGTGGTGGAGGGATATGACTGTTTTTCTTTATAAGTCTTTGAGTACAATTAGACTTTTAAAACTTGTTGTTCTGTGCCATCGAGTTGGCCTCGACTCATAGCGACCCCTCTTTGGGTTTCCAAGACAGTATCACTACAGAAGTAGGATTGCCCAACCTTTTTTTCCCCCGAGGAGTGGCTAGTTCTTTAAATTTTTTTTAAGTGACCTCTAGTAACCCCAAAGCCTAGATTTCCACTAGACAGGCTCCACCACTTACTAGTTGTGTGATCTTGGGCAAGTCACTTCATTCTTTGAAGGCTTGATTTGCTCATTCATTAAATAAAGCTAGCAACAGCACTCATCCACAGAGGTGCTGTAAGGATAAAAGATGAGGTAGGCAAAAGTACTTTGACCAGGTCTGTAATGGCCACAAACTAGTTGTTCACTGAACCTTATGAATAAAGTTATTTTAAAATGAATAAAGGAATGTGTAGCCAAAAGCGGCCTCTTGCCCACAATACCTGTGTGCTGAAGAGCCGAAGTGGATGTGATCCAATTTCAATGTGGGTTTTTGAGCCGACCAAGCCTGTAAAGGAGAGTAATAATAGAGCTGCCAGTGTGAACAACTTGAGGTCTTTTTAAATGTTAATTTGTACCTGGACAGCTCCCAGGTTGTGGTGGGTTGGGGTAGGTGGGGAGAAAAGGGGACGGGATTTGAGAGCGAGAATAAGATGTATTTATTATGGATATCTTATTAGCCAACAGATAAATTAAGGAGTGAAATGATTCACCTTACAAAAGTGTTCCTCACATGAAAAATGGATCACAAATCCCTTAGAGCAAATCTCTGGTGTTGAAAAACAACCTTGGACAAAATAAAATCAGACACACTGTATTTGAAGTAATTACTGTGAAGTGTGAATAGAAATTAAGGCAAAACAAATTTTATCTCACAATTGGATGCCTACTAACCGTAAAGACATAATGGAGCTGGGATCTGAACCAGAGTGTGAGTCCAAAGCCTCTTTCATGGAAATAAAAATTACAAAAATCATATGCCTTAGTTGTATTACTCACCAATACAGCAAGGTATAAAGTCCCCGTGCCACTTCCCAGAGGCAACCACTGTGAGTAGTTTGGTGGCCAATCCTCCAAGCTTCTGATTTGCTCATACTTACATTCGCACTCCAGTCATTCCTGCCATGGAACCTGCCCTCTTTCCCAGTTCACAAGGTGTAATAGGTCTATTCCCACCTCATTCTATATACACACATACCTCATTCTCTTTAAAAGTTACATTTTATACCATTGTAAAATTTATTTAGCCATTTAAAAAAATAATTTAGGATCTAAGTTCTTGCTGTTACAAGCATAACTTCAGTGTCAATCCTTATACATACACGCTTCTGCACTTCTGCTAATATTTCTGTATGATAGATTTGTACATGTGGGAATTGCTGGGCCTGTACGTCTAAAATTTTGGTCCATACTGCCAAATTGTACTCCAAAATAAAGATAAAGCTGGTGGTCTTAACTGTTATGCCCCACTGCCCTTCCACCAAAGTAGTGAATGCGGTTTTTAAATAGCTGGCTTCCTCTGCCATAGTGGCAGCTGTGTGTGGATGGACCCATAGGGGAGGGGTACGAATGAAAAAGGAAAAGGGGAAAGATTGTGACCAAGTCTTTGAAGCAGAAAGCCCTGTTTCCTTAGGTGCTTTGTGTTTACCCAAGCCAATAGTATTTATTGACACTTAGCGGGGGAACTTTGGGTTCATGGCTCTCTTGTGGTTCATAAATCTTCACTATTAAAAAGAATATGGCATTTGAATTTTTAACAGTATATTACTTTGTAATAAAAAAATAAAAGTTGTTAAAAGTGACTAAATAATAATCTGTGGTTGTAAATCTAGAGTTTCAAATTTGTTTAAAGTGAGGCACATTCACACTGTAAGTGGATTTTGTCAGTCATACAGTGAGTTCTTAAAAAGAAACCAAATGACTCCAAAGAGAACATTCCTCCGAGTGCTTCCTAATGATTGTTCAAAGCTCCAAGGTCAATCATCCAAGGCTTTGAAGAACATCTTGAATGTATCATTTGGCAGAAAATATGAAAATTAAATACCCTCATTCTTCCACATGTGACAGCAACTATATACACCAAGAATGGTGCCTTAAGGTTTGAGGGTTGTAAAGACCGGAGACACTCCCTTAAGGCACCTCAAGCAATTGGACATTATTGTAAGCTGACAGAAACCAACAAGGGGCAGAGCTTCAAGAGAACTGGATTTGAAACAGCTCCAGGGACCTAACTACAACAGTTTGTGAACTCCTTCTCTAGGGTACTTATTATTGCGACTCAGGGACTCAGAAAAACAGAGTTTTCTCTTAAGGTCTGTGTTACTTTTTTCTTTTTCTTTCTCTTTACTTTTTGCATATTTTCTATACTTTCTAATTCCTGCTGCTAATAACTTTGGCTTGAAAGCTCTCAGCTCTACCTTGTGTTTTTTTTTTTTTTTTAATTCATAAGTACCAACCACCTAATGGGAGTTCTGGTAGCATAGTGCCTAAGGCACTTAACTGCTAACCAGAAGGCTGTTGGTTCAAATCCACCAACCACTCCTTGGAAGCAAGGTTGGGCAATCTACTTCTGTAGTGATGCTACCTCGGCAGCCCAAGGAGGGGTCGCTATGAGTCGGGTCCGACTCGACAGCACACAACAACAACAACAACCACCTAGTATTCTTTTTACTTCTAAATTGAGTCCAAGAGGGAGAATTAGACCAGTTCAGTTCATCTTTTCGGGCCAGAGTACAGGTTTCCAGTCAGGCAATGGACTAGTTGCCCTCGAGTCAGGAACTCACTTGAGTTCCATTCAGTGATGGCAAAGTGTGCAGGGTCTGGTGGTAAGAAAAAAGTTTTCTTGAGTAGATTAATTTCCTGTAGAAGAGGTTTTGGGCATACCTATTAGACACTGAGAGTCATTCTTACATTGAGTAGTATGCATAATCTAGAATAGTTTATTTTCAATGAATGTTTATTGACTACCTCATGTTTCCAAGCACTGTGCTAGTTTTTGAAGAATTCAGAGATAAATAAAATACCAGCCTTCTTTCTTTCATGGAAGTCATAGTAGCATGAGGGGTAGACTTAGATTAAAGCAATAAATCAGATAACAAACTAATAAACTGTACAACTATCCAAATATTCATCCATTCAACAAATATATAAAACCCAAAAAAACAAACTCACTGCCTTCAACTCGGATCCGATTCATAGCGACCCCTCCTTGGGTTTCTGAGGTGGTATCACTACGGATGTAGATTGCCCAACCTTCCTTACGAGGAATGGCTCATGTTTGTGCTAAGCTCTGGAGACTGAGCAACAAATCAGCTAGTGAAAATTCATGGAGCTTATGTTTTACTGTAAGTGTAAGGAGGAACAAACAATAAACACTATGGAACTCTGGTGGCGTAGTGCCTAAGGCATTTGACTGCTAAGGAGAAGGCTGACAGTTCAACCCACCAGCCACTCCTTGGAAGGAAGACTGGGCAATCTACTTCTGAAGAGATACTGCCTCAGAAACCCAAGAAGGGGTTTCTTTGAGTTGAATCAACTCTATGGCAGTGAGTTTTTTTTTTTTTTTTTTTGTACAGTGAGTATGACATTCGGCTGTTTACCAGAAGGTTGGTGGTTCAAATCCACCAGCTGCTCCACGGGAGGAAGAATCTACTTCTGTAAAGATTTACAGCCTTGGAAACCCTGTGGGTGTTGCTATGAGTTGGAATCGAATGGACAACTGAATGGCAGTGGGTTTGTTTTTGGTTTTGGTGAGGGGTGCAGTGGTTAAGTACTTGGCTGTTAACTGAAAGGTTGAGATTTGAACCCAACTAGCCTGCTCCCTGGGAGAAACATGTGGCACTCTGTTTCTGTACAGATTACAGTCTTGGAAACCCTACGGGGCAATTCTACTCTATCCTATATGGTTGCTATGCGTCAGAACGGACTTGATGGCAATTTTTTTTTTTTAAATAATAGTATTTTAGATGGTGATACAGAAGAAAAAACAAAGTAATGATGTGGAATTAGGAGTGTTGAGAATGTTGTTGTTGTTGTTATGTGCCATCGAGTCGGACCGACTCATAGCGACCCCTCCTTGGGTTTCCGAGGCAGTATCACTACTGAAGTAGAGTGCCCCATCTTCCTTCCGAGGAGTGGCCAGTGGATTTGATCCTCCAGCCTTCTGGTTAGCAGTCAAGTGCCTTAGGCACTACGCTACCAGAGCGCCTAGTATCGAGAATAGGGACTGCAATTTTAAATGTGAAAGGCCTCCCAGAGAGAATAACATTTGAGAAAGATCTGAAGGAGGTGGGGGAATGAGTCATATATTTATCTGGGGAAGACCATTTGGATCAGAGAGGACAGCCAGTGGAAAGGTCCTGTGTTGCCATGTTGAAGGGTTAGCAAGAAGTCAACCTTCTGGAGTAGAGATAATGAGGGGAGAAGATTGGAAAATAAGAACAGAGAGGAAAGGGAGGGTAAGGGGACCAGATCATATAGGACCTTGTGGGTAAATGAAGGGATTTTAGCTTTTAGTCTGAGATGCAAAGCTGGTGCAGGGTCTAAGCAGGGGAGTGATATGGTTTGACTCATATTTTAACAAAATAACTTTGACTGATGTGTTAAGAATAGATCTAGGTGTTCAGGGTGAAAGCAGAGAGACCAGTT